GAAGTTATTGAGCTTTAAATGTTTCATTGGGCAGAATTTTAGAAACCATTTAATTCTGTGAAAGTGCAGGTTTGTGGCAGGAAATTTGCATTCCCCCTGAAGTAGTACTGACGTGTTTGTAGAACCTGGGACGACATCACACATGCTAAGATGTGAGTGAGGGTTTAGCAGAGCTCAGAGGTGGAGGTTTAAATGTCACATGGATGGGTTCATAATTATGGCTAGCGGAGCGTGGTACTTCAAAACACAAGGAGTTAGCAGCGTGGGAGGTGGTGTTTTCAATTTTCTTTAGATAATAAAAACAAACAAATTTCTGTGTACACCGATCTTTGTAATCAGCCTCAGAAAACACCTCAGAAGTCAAAACCAAGGTTCTTCCAAGTTTTCATAGAATTCAGGACATATTCTTTGATTACTGAGAAATTTTTATGTGCGTGTCGGACCTAGGGATATAGTCATCAAACCATTTCATCTTTCTCTTCATGATTTTCTTACTTTGTTTTATCAATGCGGAAGCAGTTTGGGCTGAGACTGAAAGGGGTATTTTGCAGAGATCAGCACTTGACAAACTTGTTTTGTTTTATTGGCCCCGGTGGCACGTGAAATATGAATGTATACATACAAACATACATTTATATGTTCGCCACATATCCCTCTCTGACAGCGAAGTACACTAGGTGGGGTTTTGTTGTTGTTGTTGAGCTGTTGTTTACTCATTCTTGGCATGCCTGCTTCCCTGAGAACACTGTAAACATTCGGGGTCACAGTTACCATGTAACTGCCCGGTGTTCTCTGTTTATCCAATGTCTGTGTGTGGAGACAGTGTTTTCAAAGTGCTATTTCTAAAGTAAATCGACAGTGCTTCCTTTGCATGCATGTAAGGTGCATTATAAATTCCTGTAACCAAAGTAGGGGACAAGATGATGACTTTACATCATGATGCCCCTTCGCCTTTACTCTGGCAAGTCTGTCAATCACCTAAAAAGAGCTGATATAAATAGCCAGCTAGCAAAGATCGGGGAGATGCCTTAGTGTGAACGGCACTTGCTGCTCTGCTAGAGTCCCCAGCATCCCATGGTGGATCACAACCATAACTCTGATTCCAAGGAATCTGACTCATCTGACCGCCATTATTACCAGGCACACGCATGGTTCGCATCCTCCATCCATCATACATACATACATATATACATACAGACATATGTACACTCAGATACACAGCTACATATAAAATTAGTTTATAAAACTCCCCTTTTAAAATTTGATAGTTCTTCGTAGGGCGGTGGTAGAACACATCTTTAATCCCAGATTTCAGGAGACAGAGGCAGATGGATCTCTGTGTTAGAGGTCAACCTTTTATACAGAGTGAGTTTCAGGGCAGTGAGGGATACACCGAGAAACCCTGGCTTAAGAAACCAAAACTAATAAATAAGTAAATAAATAGTTGAATTATAGTTTAACCTATGTTTTTAGAAGTATGAAAAATGCATCATTGATATCCTTTCTTGTGTTGCATCTAAATTTTTTGTAAAATATTTTGACATAATGTATTTGAGAACATTTTATTCTTGTTGGTACCAAGTGCATGACCTAGTTCCTGATGAGATTATTGGTTACTGATGGACACGGCTGCCTAGCATCCATTCTTGTTTCTACTTCCTGCCTGTGGTCCTCTGGAGTTTTCCTGTTCCTGTTGCACATGTACCAGATGCTCTGCCCTTTCTGCACTCTATCCAAGAGTGATACAGTTTTAACAGCAGAGATTCTGTGCTCTCACAGCCACGGTTGGTACCTGTCACACAGGATTGCTTTCCTTTCCAGTTCTAAGGAGCGGTTGGAAAGTGTGCAGACTTTGCTCCAATCAGGTGTCCTTTCTGATTTTTTTTTCATCCTACTAGGTTCAAAGTTTCCATTTATTCTTCCCTTTGGCCTGGTGGTGGTTTTCCTCCTTGGGCAGTGAATGCTGACTACTCTCCCTACTGGGATTGGAGGAAGTTCAGAACATCCATAAGTATAGGGGAGAACAAAGGATATTGAGTTAACACAGAAGATATTTCTCCTGCACTTTAATTTCTCCATCTTCTGGTGCTGCTGGAGCATCTTAATTAGGAAGCCAGTGAACCGAAGGCCTTTCTAAATCCCCATGTAGAAGTTCGAGGTTCAGATTCCTCATTTCCTTGCCTTGCCTTTTTTCCCTTCTGGCAGTTTAAAGGAGACTTATTTATTGTCACTAATTTACATATACAAAGAATTCATTTCTGTGTTGTATATTTGGAATATTTACTACTTCCTTTGTAAAGCAGATGAGGACAGAGGGGCTCCTCCTCCTCCCTACTTCCTCCTCCTCCTCCCACCCCCGTGGGAAATTCCAAGCATACCCACAACCAGATAACAATAGTGCAGCAAACCAATAAACCACCAGCTCCAGACCAGGGTTGTTCTGGCAATAGTCCACTCCATCCTTGCCCTACGCCCTCCCTGCCACCATAATGTCCTCAGTTTCATGAAGTCCTAGCGTCAAATCATTCCGTCGCTGTCACTTACTCTAAGCTTCAGCCTTACGCTCAGTGTTTTTTTGAGTGTTTATTCTGAGAAAGCTACGACTTTAGGTCCAGGGCATGTGGTACGCACACAGTCTCTTTGAAGATCCACATTAGGTTTTATTTTCCTGTGGAAAGGTGGTTTCCTGCCTGCTCACAGCTGTCATTCTGTCACGGGGCTCCGGCTTTACCACCCAGATCGCTGCTCTCGCTGTACTCCATGTCCCCTGGTCTCCACGTGACTTCAGCACACACCACTAACATCTTTTCTCATCTGTCCCACACAACACGTGCTACCTACCACCTCATCAAGCTTTTGTTACTGTTTTATGGTATGTTCTGATTTTTGGGGGCATTGAACATGAAATCCTCTGTCTTCTGCGTCTGAGATTGGATTCATAGCCCTAGGCATGACTACCCCATCATTTTTTTGAAAACTATTTTAAGGGAGGAGAGAGAACTGATAGTTCCTCTTGGTTTTGTCAGTAGTAAGAATTTCACATCAAACAAAGGTGATGAATGAATTGGGGGCAGCTGCCTCTTGAAAACATCAGTTGACTTACCATCTTTATAGTATATACCAGAATTAGTCCCCAAAGATTGTTAGAATAATAATGGGTAATTGTTAGGATACTCTTTTATTCATGATGCCATTTGCCATCATAAAAAATGTAGTTGTGTAACTTCGTGATCATTTGGGTTTCATGCTAAATATCAACATGTCAGAGCTAGAGAACCATGATTTGAAGAAACAACAGTTAATGGTTTGGATATTGCACATCTTACATTTCGACACTATGCCTGTCCATAATGACTGAATTAGGTCTCACTTCTTTTTTTGAAACAAGTTCAAATAACTAGTTTTGTGAACTTGTGTCTTTTAAAATCTTGCCTTGGGTCATACTTCATCTTCTTTGTTGGATCTGTTTCCACATAATTTTGTTCTTCTCACCATACATTTCCTTGACATCATCAAACAAGATATTGCCTTTACTGTTTGTGGAGGAATGTATTAAGCATTTCATTGAGTCTGTATTAAGAATATTTAAAATGCTTGTTTCCTTTTTAATAGCCTATACTAGATGAATTTACAATTCTCCCTGATCTTGGAACTGATGAGATTGTTTTCTGTTACAGCCATGGTCCTTTACGGCTCCTCTCCGGCTTCCACCCCCTCACCCCATGCCTTCTCTTTCTTTGGTCCTGTTTCCCAGTTAGCTCAATGCTTGATTCCACTGAAGGGAGGTGGGGGCTGGGGAGTTGTGCATTCGGTCCAGTTTTACTTTGAATCTAAAAGTGCTTTTAAAAATGAAGTTTTTTTTTTTAAAGTAAGGATGGAGAAAATTCACAGCCATAAGGAATGATGCACCTTCAAAGAAACACTGGGGCGTGGAGACACAAAATCTGAGTAACTGTTGGAACTCAGTGAATGTTAGAAATATTTTGTTGTTCGGGCAGGAGCTCCTGAGCTGGTTGAGTGCTTGCCTGGCACGTAGGAAGCACTAGGTTAGATTCCTAGCACTATAGAAAGCTAGCATGGGTACAGATGCTGTAATCCTAGCAGAATGACCGTAAGTTCAAAGTCAAGACTAGGCCTGAAAGTGTGTGCACCTAACCCTAGGACTTGGAAGGCAGAGATAGGAGGATCTCTGTGAGTTCCAGGCCAGCCAGGACTACATAGTGAGATTGTCTTAAAAAGAGTCCAAAGATCAATAATAAATATGGCATTTTCCATAGCAAAAAAAAAAAGAGTCCAAATTTCCTCGGCTGCATAGTGACTTTGAGACACCCTAGCCTGTTTCCAACAAAACCACAGACACCAATAAATGAGCAAAGACCAGTAAGGTCTTCCTAACTAAAGGTTCTCTTTATATAGACTAGTTTCACCTATATTGTAGTACTGAAGAATTATGGAAATTACTTGAAATGGCCAGGAAAGACAATGTTTTAATTAATAAATGAATTTTTTTTCAGCGATTGAAAATGTTTCTCAGACATGCATTTTTGTGCCTTCACTGTAGATAAAAGTAATGAATGGGTTCTCGGAATCCGTCCCAGGTCACCTAGCGAGTGGGCCTGCCAGCTCCTTGGTGAACCTGGCTGTTCAGATGGATTCAGCTATTCCCACGGATCTCAACACTAAATGTCTACAATTGTGGGTTTTGATTGTTTTTTCTTTCTTTTTTTTTTTTTTTAACGAAGCCTCTTACTGTTGCCCATGCTGACTCTGACAAGATCCCTTCCTGTAGCTTCTGAGTAACTGGGTCCAGCATTTTCCAGCAGCCTGGCCAGTGTTTACTGTTAACTGGACATCTTTCTAAGACTTGTTTGCTCATCAGTCATTAACTGCACCTGTGTTTTATGTGTTCTATCACCTATTTGAGCTGATTATGTTCTCATCTGATTTTCCAGTGCACAGTTTGGAGAGGTTTAAATTCTTTTTTTTTTTTTCTCCTGTAGCGCTTCCCCCTGGAAGTCCCGGCCCCATTACTCGACATGGGTCCTATGACAGCTTAGCCTCTGACCATAGTGGACAGGAAGATGAAGAGTGGCTTTCTCAGGTAAAACTCTGATATATTGGGTTTATTGCAATGAAAATGAAATGAAATTTATGCCCTGGCAAAACATGCATGGGTAGCCCATATATGGTGGTTCTGTTGAACTTGTCCATGTTGGGTTTCATGGTCTAAGTTGATGAGGATGACTGACCAGGTCTCTCTCTCTCTCTCTCTCTCTCTCTCTCTCTCTCTTTCTCTCTTCAATTTATTATGTATACAGTGTTCTGCCTGCATGTATGCCTGCAGGCCAGAAAAGTGCCCCAGATCTCATTACAGATGGTTGTGAGCTACCGTGTGGTTGCTGGGAATTGAACTCAGGACCTTTGGAAGAGCAGGCTGTGCTCGTAACCAATGAGCCATAGGGAGAATGGAAATTTGTGTTTATTCTGTTCTTTTCCTTACAGGAAAGTGGAGATAATTGGTATACTTTGTGAGTCACCAGATCTATGAGTATTTCCTTATTAAGAATGTCTTGGAAACACTGTTGCAGGAGTGCACACGTATATTTGGTTGTACATATTACGTCTATGCTTCACTGACACTTGTCTGTGCTCATGCAGATGTCTGTTTTGATGCAGAGCATACAGAATGTCCAAATGCTTTTGTTGGGGGAGGTCAGCATTGTCTTCTGCTAGTTCCGGCTGGAATTCCTTTCCTGGCTGTTTCCGACGGCCTCCGCACCATGCCTAAAACAGCGTCCCTCAGCCACTCTCACCCCACCAGTGGCTCCGTCTTCAAGTGAAGCACTTTGATTTCAAAGCGACTTGGGCAGATTTCACAGTGGAGCGATTCCAGTGACTTCATTACAGATGCTGTTGTGTCTGCCTCCAGCCTGACATCATTTGGGGAGGTTAATGACCTGTCTCACATTACCCATTTGGCAGCTTTTATCAGACAGGTGCCTCACAGAAGTCGGACCCTTTGTGGTGTTTTCTGGGAGGGTAGCCTGAAAAGCAGAAGTGGCTCTCGAAACTGGAGGAGCAATGTTTATTCCAGTACCCCAGCAATGCTCTCGGGGTGCCCTGTGAGTGGCGGCCCATCTTCTGGCATGCTGAGGTCCTTCCTCTCCTGGTGCTATTAGGATAAAACAACCCATTGTGCACAGAATTTGTCCAAGAGTGCTGGCACAGAAACCATTGTCCTTCATTCAGCTTTTCTTTGAGAAGAAGGGGTAATGTGTGCTGTCAGTGTGAAAGTGCATACAATATGTTTGTCCTGCACACAGCAGGCGTGTGAATACTGCAACATCTGGCTAGCGCCTCAGTGAAATTGCACGGGCATATGTTTACCTCTCGGCTGTGTGACACTCACAGTTTTGAGCTTAAAATATACACAATTCTTTATCTGTGGCCTAATTTACATTGCCGAGTGCAACTCTGAGAAGCAGAAATCACTGTCCTTGCTCTGAGTGTTCTCTCTGTCATTAGTGGGTATGCGAACATCCTTCCAAGACCAGGATGCCCGTGCCCTCTCGAAGTCGGAGGCCTTTGCACTCCGCATCAGTTGTGTGTTGTTAAAACTTAATCACTGGAATGTTAGAAACGTAATTAAATATAAAAGAATCAGGGCGAGGGCTCCAGGCACGTGGGAGCCAGTTTGATTAGGCCTAGGTGTGGACACGGCAATGGCAAGGCTGGGAGAAGAGTAGTTGGATTTTGCTGAAGATTTGCAGAAGCTGTTGTTGCCAGGGCCGTCTGCGGAGCCATTTTCAGATTCCCCCGTCTTCTGTTCCTTTTTCTTACAATATTGAGTATAATCCTGGCAATGCCCCACTCCTTCCGTAGAGTTTGATACTTATAAAACTTTTGAATTACCGTTTTACTGTGTGTAGACTCCTTGTCAATGTTTATGACAGTAGAAAAAACATTTTGATCAAATATCAGTTACATGAGAGAAAACATAATAGCTCCTTTATTTAAAATAGATGTGAGCGCTGGAGAGACAGCTCAGGAGTTAAGTGCACCGAGTCCCCAGCTTCCGTGCTATCATCTGGACTCCCTAGGCACCTGCACACATGTGATGTGTGCTCACACAGATACATACACATAGATAGAAATTAATCTTAAAAATGTACTTAAAAAGTAGACATGAGAAAACTTGGAAGCAATGTAAATATGCTACTGTATTGTACAAGGGATCCAGCTTCATCTGTGAGATGATTTGGGCCTTATCTTAGTTTTCTAGAGCCAAGAACAACTGCACTGTTTTCAAGAGCTTGAGAGAATTACTTTTAGTCGCTTCCATTGCATACCCTCACTGTGGTAAATGCTGGCTTCATTGAGTTTACAAAGGCGGTCAGTCCCTCGGAAGCTGATCTCGTTACATGAGGTCCACAACTCAGGTTTCCAACTCTGCAATTCCTTTCGCTTGCATGGGATTTTCGTGTTTTAGATACACGATATGGTGCATATATTGTGGATATGTTGATGTATGTACACTTCTACAGTTGTAGGTGAAATTTCTCTTCAGATTATAATATAATTATATAATTTCCCCTCCTATGTACAACCCCCCCCCATTTTCTTTATAATCCATGCTCTTTTTCTCTTTAATTGTTGGTGGTGGTGGTGGTGGTGTGGGGTGTGTGTGTGTGGTGTGGTGTGTGTGTGTCTTATTCCTAAATATGATTACAACCTGCTTATTCTGTATAATATATGTAAGTGTTCAAGGCTGACCATTTGGTATTGGATAACCAATGTGTGTGCCCTTTCCTGGGAGAGACTGTCTCTCCCCCTTGGCATTCCTTAGTTGCCTGCAGTTCTTGGTCTTGATTGAGGCTTGTGAGAACTCCCTCTTCCATATTAGCATATCTGTTGGTGTCGTTATTGTTCAAGTCATGTTTAGACAGCCATGTAGGTGAGACTTCATTGGTGTACCTTCTTGGGCCTTTCTTGGAGACACAATCTCACAGCAAACTTCCTGCCTCAATAATCCCTGAGGCTTAGATGTGGGAATAGCTCCCCAACTCTACATTTTGATAGGTATCATTTTCTGTAATGGTCTCCATCTGTCTGAAAGAGTTGTTTCCTTGATGAGGGGTGAGAACTAATCTGTGGGCATAATGATCTATATTGAGAATGTAGTTTAGTAAGGTGGAGGCCCTAGAATCTCCTCAAAGATCCATGACCCCATGAACCTCAGGTAGTTGGCTAGCCTTCTAGTCCAGGGTTTAAACAGGTCTAGTCTTAAGAGAGTTGTTGCTAACCACCCAGGCATATGTGTCATGATTGTGACCTTAATGTTTTTGTGCCTTGCTGGTCATTGTTGTGGTTCATAGATATCATAGCTGGTTTGCTTTCCTCCTTTAGAAGCTTGAATGGCAAATTGTGGTATCATGAAGGCTAGTTCCCAGGTAGGAGACTTTCAGGTCAGACCCATTCACGCCCTCTGGGTCCTCTGTCTGAAGTATATGGTCAGCAATAGGGACTTTCATCTGCATCTGGGCCATAACTAAGGTCATCAGCAGCAGCCTATAATGTTTTGAGAGTCTTTGACAACGCTGACCATCAGTTCAAAAGAGGGCTTTGAAAGGGTTTCCGCACCCTAATATTGAGTCTCTCTGCCGATGCAAAAAATCAGATCAGGCTGAATTAATAAAACCAGGTTTAATCTGGGGGGAGATTGGTGAGGAGAAATCACATGGCTTGTCTATGGGCTGGGTCTTAAATACCATGTCTGCATGGTCTTGAGCATCTGGGTGGTGGTGGGGAGCTGCCGCTTGGCGGGCTTCTTCAGGGGTGGGGTCTGGAGAGAGAGAGAGAGAGAGAGAGAGAGAGAGAGAGAGAGAGAGAAAGTGAGTGAGTGAGTGGAGCTTCGACCTAAACAGGCTTCTCATCCCTGGTTGATGTGGGAGTGATTTCTTATTAATAAAGAAACTGCCTAGACCCATTTGATAGGTCAACCCTTAGGTAGGCGGAGAAAACAGAACAGAATGCTGGGAGAAAGAAGCTGGGTCAGGGAGTTGCCATGATTCTCCCACTCCAGACAGACGCAGGTTAAGATCTTTCCTGGTAAGACAGCTTGTGGAGAAATGGGTTAAGAGGCTGAAACTAATGGGTCAGGCAGTGTTTAAAAGAATACAGTTTCTGTGTAATTATTTAGGGGCATAAGCTAGCCATGTGGGCGGCCGGGGTGCCGGGGACACAGCCCCGCCGCTCTTAATACAACACCTGGTATTGGGCTTTTTGTTACACTATGGCTCTTGCAGGAAGCAATTTAGATTTATTTAAGATTTTATATTAAATTATGTACATATGCATGTGTGTATGTTTATCGGGGTTTCTATACCTGAGTATAGCTTCTCTGAGATCAGAAGGGAGTGCTGCATCCCCTAGCACTGGATGTCTAAGGCATTAGAAGTCATCGGTTGTGTGTAGTGGGAACTAAATTGACGTTCCAGGATGAACAGGAATATCCATGTAAGTTGGGATTGTGGTTGTATTTTGGCTCAGGTACTCCGACTGTCTTTACTCCACTAACCTGGAAAGTGGCTATTAAAAGAACAAGAAGTTATCTCTGCAGACCATAATATATTGAACCACGACCCTGTCTCTTTTTCAGGTTGAAATTGTAACACACACTGGACCCCACAGACGCCTGTGGATGGGTCCCCAGTTCCAGTTTAAAACCATCCACCCCTCAGGCCAGACCACGGTCATATCATCTAGCTCGTCTGTGCTGCAGTCTCATGGGCCGAGCGACACACCACAGCCGCTCTTGGATTTCGATACAGATGATCTAGATCTCAACAGTCTCAGGTAAGAGAGGGGAAACCAGGAGGTTAGTTCTAAGACAGGATGAAAGTCTTCCTTTGTAACGAGTGTCCTGTGCAGTGTTCACAGCTCCTTTTGACACAGTATCCTATTGTTGACTCCATCTGTAACTGTCATTTACTGTCATCTCTCGGGCTGACCACATGCTGCAGATATTTTCGTTCTGAAATATCTTTTTGCTAATGCCAGAGCACTTTAAAAAGCTGTCCAGTTTGTGCTTCTTGTTCAGACTGGCGAATTTACCTTCCGCCTTCGTTCTGAAGCCGGAACTGCTGTCTTTAGTTCTGCACCTGTGCCTGTCTTCTTCCCTTACATCACGCGAGATGAAGGCTCAGTGTGCTTTGTTTGTAATTGGTGGCCTGGTTTTTCCTGACCCGTATTCTCCTTCCTACTTGTCAGAATCATATATATGTCTCAAGAGAACGCTTTTCATTTCTATTTTTATGATTCAATTTAGTTATTTTTAAACTTTGTAGTCTCGCATTAGCATAGCATTTAATTTACAGTCTTCATTATACTTGTCTTCTCTTTCAAAAGAATTCGAGGACTGGGATGTGGCTGAGGGCTAAAGGGGTGTCCATATGCCTGTGGCTGAGTCCAGTCAGCCCCATCAGGAGAAAATCAGTCTGTTAATAAACTCTGATGGGTATAATTGCACACATCTTTAATCCCAGCATCCAGGAGGCTTAGGTGGGTTAGTGAGTCCAAGGCCATAAGAATACTTTTGCAAAATTTTAAATATTATGCATTGTTTGTTTTTTTAAAATAAAATTATGGGAAATTATATTCTAATCTCTGGATGAAATATGCCTTTATTCTTTGTCAATAGCAATAAATTAAAAAAAACAACAAAACCAAAGCTGGAGAGATGCTTAGTGATTAAGAACACTGCTGCTCATCCCGAGGACCTGAGTTCAATTCCCAGCACCACATGGCAGCTCACAACTGTCTATAACTCCCATTCCAAGGGATCTAGTAACTTCATAAAGATATACATCAATGTACAAAAAATAAAAATAAAGTATAAAAATTTCTAAAAAGATTAAAATAACAAAACCAAACTGGGTATGACGGCCCATGCCTAGCCATCATACCCCGAGATGGCTGGACCACATAAGAGAGCCCCTGTCTCAAAACAAAACAAAAACAAAATTGTTGCCAGGCTAGATGAGGCTTTCAGAATTTGTTTACATTCTTTAAATGCAGGACATAGTTGTGTGCATGTCAGGCACTAGTTTGGGAACTGGGAACGGAAGGGCCAGGATATAAATGATGCCACTCACCCGCCTAACTTTTATTGTGATGGTCTCCAAAGTACTGACCATTTAACTGTCTGGACAGGAACTCTTCCTCTCATTCCCAATCCTGTACGACTCCTTAGATCTACTGCTAAAGCCATAATCCAGGGTTTTGTTTGGTTTTAATTTTTATTTTGTTTAGTGACTGGTTCTGATTCTGTAGCCCAGGTTGTTCTGCAGCTCACTGTGAAGTCAGAATGGTTCTTTTTTATTTTTTTATTTTTTGGTTTTTCGAGACAGGGTTTCTCTGTGGCTTTGGAGCCTGTCCTGGAACTAGCTCTTGTAGACCTGGCTGGTCTTGAACTCACAGAGGTCCGCCTGCCTCTGCCTCCCGAGTGCTGGGATTAAAGGCGTGCGCCACCACCGCCCAGCTGAGTCAGAATGGCTCTGAACTCATGACTGTCCTCCTGCCTCAGCCTCCTGCTGAGTGCCGGGATGATAGGTGTGCTGTAACACAGCTGGGCTATGTTCACTCTTCACGTCTCTTTTCTCCTGTCCCGTGTGTTCATTGAGTTATGCTAGTTTTATCCCAGAATGTGTCTGGAAATTTGACTCAGTTCCCCTATGGACACCATAGAAACTTCTTTGCTTTCAGAAAGGTCCTTAGTCCCTACTCCTTTTCCTCTTCTTTTCTTTTCTTTTCTTTTCTTTCTTTTTTTTTGATTTTGCTTTTACTCCACCAATGCTTCATTTCTTTCTTTTTTAATTTATTTATTTATTATGTATACAATGTTCTGCATGCATGTCTACTTGCAGGCCAGAAGAGGGCACCAGATCTCATTACAGATGGTTGTGAGTCATCCATCTTATGGTTGCTGGGAATTGAACTCAGGACCCCTGGAAGAGCAGCCCGTGTTCTTGACTGCTGAGCCAGATTTGTTCTAGCTATATAGCTGAGGCTGGCTTTGAGCTTGCGATCCCTCCTCTCTTTCCTTACTAATGCTTGAATCGTAAGCATGTACCACTAAGCCTAACTTGGTTTTTTCATTTTTTCCCGTTTTTGTTTCATTCCTTCCCTCTGCCTCCCTCCGTTCCTCCCTTCCATAGCGCTCAGGATGGAACTTGGGGCCTTGTTCTTGACGGGCAGGTGGCTCTGCCGCGGTGTACCTCCCCAAGCCTTGATGCACTTTAAGCTTGCTTCCTAAGGGTGAGGTTACCTCCTAGCGCTAGTTTAAAGCTGTGTTCAGTGCTCATCTCTCAGTGACTTCCGTCTTGAGCTTCATTTTGTTCAGACTTGTAAACATGACTCTAAGATGTCAGACAGTGAACATAGACTGTTGGACCACATTCTGTATTGCTGGTTATTAAACTTGGGCTAACTTAGGTAGTCGAGGTCATCATTCAGCGATTTGGGTTGACAGCATCACCCGATTATGAAAGTATTAGTAGTAAAACTTTTAAAGCAGGAGACCTTTATTTCTAAACTATGTTTCCTCTTCTGTGAAACACACAAGATCCTACCACTGATTTCCTAGTCACTGTCACCAGGTGCTGTTGAAGGCCCCACCCCCTTTTGTCACATGAAAGCATCCTTAGTGCCCACGTGCATAGTCTACCCTCTTGTTTCCTGCAGCTTCCGCTGGGTATCTTTTCTTAGATATAGTCCTCCTAATATTTTATAACTTATTTTTAATTAACAGTACATTTTCAAATTCTTTCAGTTTTTTTCGAGACCCTCTTTCCTTTCTAAATATGAAAGAGCTCCTAGTATTTTTTCAATCTAACTTTAAACTGTTTGTGCTTGATTTAACTAGAGTGTTAACATTGTTTGTTGATTATTAAATATATTTAAATATATTAAATAACAATTGTAGTTATTATCATTATAGTATTTGTTCTAAAGCAACTGGAGATTCAGCATTTATACCTTATCCTTCTTGAGCTTCATATTATATATAATAAACCAGTTTCGCTGAGGTCCAAATTGATTGTTACATGTTAATTGATAATCTTATGGAAGTTACTTAGTTGCTGCCCTGGCTGTCCTCTGCAGCACAACCTTGTTATCCTGTCTTATTCTTGTTAATAAAATAACAGTGAGTAATGATGACATGGGAATGTTAAATATAGTTGTGCACACCTTTAATCCCAACACTGGGGGGCAGAGGCAGGAGGATCTCTTTTGAGTTTAAGACAGAGACTCTCTATCTGTCTGTCTATATTTATATATATCTATACAGAGATAGGTGGATTGGCTGTATCATTGCTGTCTTCTATTGCACTATGCTCAAAAGCCTTTCATGAAATATTCATATGTATACTTTTAAAAGCCAAAAGTTTTTACTGTTTTTTTCTTTTCCAATTCATTTTTTCACTTCAGTTTTTCAACTCATTTCTTAATCTACTGAACAACACAGGTTAATGAGAAGAAGTTAGAGTGTGCCTGGTAAGGTGGGAACGTCATGTTTTTAGAGCTTTGGCTTTGTGTAGGGGTTCAGGGCTGTAGCTCCTTTTTGGTCTGGTTGTAGAACGTATGGTTCTTTAATGGATTAAGCCATCCCAGCACTCCTGATTTAAGGTCTGTTGTAGGAAGTGACAGTTTCCATGCCAGTAACATATGTGAACTAAATGAAATTGCATTGCAGGATCCAGCCGGTCCGCTCTGACCCAGTCAGCATGCCAGGGTCATCCCGTCCAGTCTCTGATCGCAGGGGAGTTTCCACGGTGATTGATGCTGCCTCCGGTAGGATGCTTGCAGGGCGTTTCTCTGCTCTTGAGTTTTATTTTCTTACACATCATAGAGGATGACGCCCATTTGCTTTCTCCTTTCGTTTTGTTGGTTGGGGTTTTCTATGTCTCTGTACAGAGGTGTGCCTCTATTTGCTACTGAAAACTGCCATGTATTCAGACATTCTTAGTGTTGGTTGAGTGGGGAGGTAGAGCCGGGCCTTGATTAAATGTAACAAACATGGTATTGAAGACTACAGGGTTGATGACTGCTCGCCTTTGATCACTTGAAATGTCAAGCAGCAGCCTTGACAGAGAGCGTAAATACAATATATGGATTCAATTTACTCAACCTGTGGAGTATCAAAGTGCCTGCTCTGTGGCAGCAGAGGCAATCCGAATGCTGTATCTCAGATAGTTTCACTGCAGAAAGCATGGTGCTTAGAAATTCATCAGTTAGCCCTGGTATGTCAGTATAGTTATTAATTTCCTAACCTTGCCATTAGCCCTTGAGTGTGTAGCGTTGATATCTGGAATGGGGCTCCTTAGTGACTCTGGGCTGGACCTGCTTCGTTTGTATTGTAGAGCTGTTCTCAGCCAAGCCTGGCGAACCATGGAGCTGAGTGTGATAATGCGCTCTCGTGGTTAAGACGAGTGAAGGAGGGGAGGATGGTGCCGCGCACAGTATTGCTGCATGTGGGGACTGTCTGAAGATCTCACCGGAGGGCTGTGTCCCCAACAATGTCATCGGGGATTTATCCACAGTTCCACAGTGGTTGAACAGTTGAATTAGAACAGATTGTAATCTATGCTAGTTTCAAAATCCTCACAAGCAGTTGATTTGGTTGAGGGTTAAACTGTGAAAGAGAGCGGAACCCGTTACAAAACTGCCGTCTGATTCTGTATGTTTTTTTTTAGTGTTCTGAGCTATGTGCTTGTTTTGGTCAATTTATTAAACTTCAAATGTTATCAAGCTGTCTAAATCCGTGCCTACACCTCCACTTTAATGAGGGGTCTTTGATGAGCGTACGTATCCTTGTTTTTCTGCTCTAGGTTGATAAATAGGGCTGCTGCCTGCAACAGGCAGGGTCTTGGGGAAGCTATGTCCTGACTTCCCTGCATCAAATGGGGCTACTGAGACCTGTAAGGAACCAACACTTGGGCAGTGCTAACAGGGAGCTGGTCTGAAATTACTGCTTACTGCTTACTGTGTTGACATATTTATTCAGTATTCAATCGAGGCCTTCTTAGGCTTTTAATACATCCTTAAACTCTACAATATTATTAATTTTGCTGTCAAACAATTAGACACTAGTAATGCATGCTGCCAAGTGTCAGATGTATTTCATATAGTATTCTGAGGCAATAATGCATATTATATTGATCATAGAACAATTTTAGTTCTAGGTTAAGTTGTTTCAAGATTAGGAGAAAGTTTAGTGAACCATTAATCTATTTTTTTTGAAAAAATTGAATTTAAGTTGATTTTTGACTAATAGAGTAGATGATCACACTTGATCTGATCTGCTTGCATCACTATCAAAGGTGCCGCCTAAGGTTTGGTGGGTTGTTGCTTTGTGGCCTTCAACCTTTGAAATTGCCAACAGTTTGGGTAGAGAAGGGACTTTTTTTTTTTCTTGTAGCCAAGCTCTAGTATTATCTCTTTATTTTAGGCCCATGTTTCCTCTCTGAACCAATGAGGGTGGTGAGCGTGAGCGCTGCTCTCTCTCACTGTGAGCAGAGACGCTTTAGCCTCGAGGAGTTGGACTCTAGTGGATGGTTCTCTTCAGCCCCCCACACATGGATTGGATCTCCTGATGAAGAGTCTGTGTTTTTGGTTGAATGGCTAATGTTCTGCTATCCAACTAGCATCTACTGCAGTCAGGTCACTGCTGTTACTGACCCACTGTGAGCCTAAGCCATTGTAGTTCTTTGTGGAAAGACATTAATAGGGCAATTCTAACAGGTTCTATTTTTAAAGGTAAGGCATTCATTGAAATCGTCCCTGAATCAGGGAGTGCTGCTTTCATTGTGATACGCGTGTTTGAGTAGTCTTTATTGGGAGATGTTTGATGACCTGTCGCTTAGGGAAGATTGCCAGTGTGGGATCTCCTCTTTTAGGTCTCATGGTTGTGCACTTCCTTGTTCCGTTTTGTACTGCTTCGTCTGTTGTCTCCCATTTTCCCTTTGACATATTTTATAGCTGTCCTTGGGTTTTGGTGACAGAACCTCCTCCGTCTAACCGTGTGGTGGTGGTCTTTTTTTTTTTTTTGAGACAAGATTTTTCTGTAGCTTTGGAGACTTTCCTGGAACTAGCTCTGTAGACTAGGCTGGCCTTGAACTCACAGAGATCGGCCTGCCTCTGCCTCAGCCTCCAGAGTGCTGGGATTAAAGGCTGCGCCATCACTGCCCTCTAATATTTTTAGACATGAAAACTTTGTAAAGATAGTGAAAAAATTGTGTGTGTCTGTGTACAAATATAACTTATCTGTTGCAGAATTTATGTTTATGACACACACACATGCTCTCTGACACATAATAAATTTCAAAGTGAAACTATTTTGTTTAAACCTTGTTTCTGGGTGCTGGAGAGATGGCTCAGCTGTTAGGAGCACTTGCTCTTCCTGCGGACCTGGGCTCAGTTCCCAGCACACAGATGGCATCTCACAGCAGTCTGTCAATCCAGATCCGGGATCCAGTGTTCTCTGCTGGCCTCTTCAAACATTGCACACTCATGGTGCATAGGCACACATGCACTATTTTAGCTAGCTAGTTATGTTTTCGTGCAACCTTATTCTATTGAACCATAAGAGATAAGCAGGGTTTTACTTCATTTTCTAGTTGTTTTCTTTCATAATCTATCATGTAGTTAATTGCCATTTCACTGCTTCATGTAGAGGTGTCTGTAGAGCACACACCCAGTCCACTTTACTGGTTGAAACACAGAACATTTTAGTTTCTCCTCTGATCATAGGTGTTTGATAAGTGGACATTATTTTCATCTTAACTCTGGTGCAGAATAAAAACAGTGGATAGCCTAAATTTGGGGATTCAGTGATTGTGAGATATTCTAGACTCGAGATAAAGGGAACACTATTGGAATTTTTTCCCTGAGAGACACAGCCTACCCAAAACAAAAAGGCCCTGCTCTGGTTGCTCACTTTTCTGTACATACAAAGAATTACAAACTGTGTCTTTGAATCATAAATAATACTTTAATAGGTTAATTTCTATATATTTACTCTATGAATTCTCTTCACTTTAAATACCTAAGATTTCTCGTTGTTCATACCTAATACGTTATGCCTGTATTTTAACTAAAGTAGAGGACTTCTAAGGAGGGAGCAGCTGCAGTCTCATTTGAACTTACTTTCCCCGGTTCCATTTTTCTTTTTTCCCAGAGTTAGCCTCCCCATGTAGCTCCAGCCTTCCCACCACAACCTTCCTAGTGCTGGGACACAGACTCCCACCGCCTCACCTCTTTCTTCTGCACACTTGTTTGTTCCTGGGTTTGTCCACCCTACCTTTAAGATTGCCTAGTGTCCTCTTACCTTGTTTTTGCATAATAAATTGAAGAACTGCTGGAGATCCAGGTCACCCTCCCTCAGTGTGAGACCAGTGCTTACCAACAGAGATGGAGGACAGACATTCTGGACCCGCCCTTGGAGGAGACAGAACTTGTCACTTGATCTGCTGTTGTCATTCAAATGGGAGGTAGACTTTCTCAGCCATCGTAATCTCAGGTGCTGATGAGAAGGGTATTCAGTTGGCCACGGTCCAGCTTTGTGGGGCAGTGCTCATGAACTAAATCTGACTGGAGAAGCTGTGATGTTCTATTCATGGTCTGTAAGTTCTGCTGAAGCCTTCAGTAAGTCATTCTTCCTACCCCACTGTTGTTTTCTGCCGCCTTAAGTGGAAAATGAGAATTCCTAAGCAGAGTTTGGGTTCTGCTTCCTTGGAAGGGATGTATTTAAGTTATTTCCTAAGATAATTCCCAGATATAAAATGTGTAATGTTCTTTAGAAGTATGAAGGTAATCCTTTGAATAAACGCTAAGTCTTTCCAGTCACACAGTTCGAGATACTGTTTGTGATTATAAAGTGACGAAAGCTCTAGGCTTGTCGCTTGTGTTGGAACAATAAGAGGATTAGGGAGAGGGCAAAATTAAAAGAAGGCTCAGCACTGGTCTGTGAACAGCCCCTCTGAAGAAGAAATATCCAAACTCAGTTATTAAGATTAGCATTTTTAATTTGAGATGATAAGGTATGGGTATTAAATTGGCATTCATCCTTTGGACAGCTACCCTTCATATAAAATTTAAAAGTAAGTTTTAGAGAATACATCAGAACAGAACAAAACAAAGCATGAACTCCCCTTTGGCCGTGAGGAGAGCACACGCCTGGAGTTTTCATGCAGTTGGATGCCTAAGCCAACGGGGGCACGGGGCGATGCGTGGGGCAGTCTTAGAAACGGTTTGAGTCTGAAGCAGCAATTCCATTTGTCTAAGTGACATGAGTGTTAAATTGTTAGTGTCGCACTGTTGTAAATTGTGTCGTGAGCTTGCAGGTGTCCTCTGTGCACTGGAAACAAACTGAAGCACTCTGAAGCACAGCAAGCTCCCAGGCAAGTAAAGAGCAGGCTGAGACCGCCCCCAGACAGCGAGCTGGAGCCTGGGCCCCTGACACTCCACTGTGTATGCTCGAGAACTGCACAGAGAAAGCTAAAACAAATAATCCAAATGAAAATGTTTGTTCCTGAGAAAGGTCAAGTTCTGGAAGCTTGTGCTAGCAAGAGCAAGGGAAGCTAACCTGAGTCTGTCGCTGCTGTCATAGCTCTGTCTGTAACTAGTGATTGCAGGATGACCATTTCCTAAGTGTCCTGTCCTCCCAGAAGCAGGAGGATTGCTTGAACCCATGAACATTAGAACAGCCTGAACAACAGAGCTAGACTGAGTATCTAACAAAACAAAAAACTTTATTCTTTTACTAAAAGAATTTTGCTGTTATTACCAGTTTG